TGGTAGCCCATGCCTCAAAGAAATAAAAGAAATTGTATTCACAGGTACAACTTACACATTACGAAGAACTTTATGGTTGTAAAATGTGGGCGATCTTTGTTTTGTTTATTTAAAAAAAATGATCAGTAGAAAGTGTCATGAAGCCATTTCTGACCTTAGGTCTCTGGTTGGGACCAGGAAGGAAATGTGCATATGGCAGAAATAAAAAAATAAATAAAATAATAATAATAATAATAATATGAACTAGAATACACAGAAACTAGAATGAGTACAGAAAACAAAAGGCAATAAAAAATAAGTCATACAAGGCCGAAGAGCCACTCAAGGTAGATAATTACAGAGTAAGGTGCGCAGTTTATTGAGGATGTGAGAGGACGATAACTGTAGGCCCTCGACTTGAACGGGTTAAGATTACAGTTATTCGGGAAGCATTCCCTTAGGAGTCAGTTCTACGGAGGTTCGTTGTAAGATACTGGTAGAGTGTAACTTACATCTCACCAGTGGAATACGAAGGGAATGAGGGTGGTTCGCCACAATGGGCGTGTTTTTAGCTGGGATGCAGGTCGTCTGAACACTTTTCATGCAAATAGCAGCAAGCAAACGAGAGGCTTGCCACGTTTCGTTCGTGAGAACAGCGTTGTAAGGATGAAAATAATGCGTCACCCCCAAGGAAGCGGGGAGCACCTTTGGACTCTATCGACAAAGTGAGAACAGGGCAGCTCCTGCCCGTATATAACTGTACCACATTTTCGGCCTTATCTAGCAGTTGTAAAGGTAGAGGGTAACGAGAGAAGAGGAGGACTTACTGGAACGCTACAGGAAACAAAAAACATTTTCCATAATGTTTATAGTTCGGTGTATGTTCAAAAATCCTTAGCTTTTGGTCATATGTACAAAAATCCTTAGCTTTTGGTCATATGTACAAAAATCTTTAGGTTTTGGTCGAATATACAAGAATCTTTAGCGTTTGGTCGTAAGTAGAAGAATCCTTAGCGTTTGGTCGTATGTACGAGAATCTTTAACGTTTGGTCGTATGTACAATAAATTTAGCGTTTGGTCGTATGTACAAGAATCTTTAGCATTTGGTCGTATATAAAATAATCTTTAGCGTTTGGTTGTATTTAGAATAATCTTTGGTATTTGGACGAATGTACAAGTATATTTAGCATTTGGTTTTATGTACCAATTCCACTTGAGGTGAGTTTAAATCCCAACGCGTTCGAATGTACAAGAATCTTTAGCGTTTGGTCGTATATTCAATAATATTTAGCGTTTGGTCGTATGTACAAGAATCTTTAGCGTTTGGTCGTAAATATACGAATCTTTAGCGTTTGGTCGTATCTACAAGAATATTTAGCGTTTGGTCGTATGTACAAGAATCTTTAGCGTTTGGTCGTATATTCAATAATCTTTAGCGTTTGGTCGTATGTACAAGAATCTTTAGCGTTTGGTCGTATGTACAAGAATCTTTAGCGTTTGGTCGTAAATATAAGAATCTTTAGCGTTTTGTCGTATATTCAATAATCTTTAGCGTTTGGTCGTATCTACAAGAATATTTAGCGTTTGGTCGTATGTACAAGAATCTTTAGCATTTGGTCGTATATTCAATAATCTTTAGCGTTAAATGTTTAGCGTTTCGTCATATGTACAAGAATGTCGAATGTACAAGAGTCTCGTTTTGATTCCCGAAAAGGCGACGGGTAAGTGGACAAATATCGAGTGACATTTGAAGAGCAGTGAGGATTGTGGAGGTAACCCTGACCTCCAGAGTTATAATCTTGCATACTCTCTGCAAAGAATTCTATAAATGGCTTCATAATGTCAACTGAAACTTATTCAAAATTATTTCACCCCAAACCGAGCGATAAAAAGTCTTCTCTCTTTCCTGCCAACTAGAAGCTTTAAAAATCTATATGCAAACCTCAATTGCCATTTTCTGCCTCCTTGAATCCTGTCCTGTTATTGTCCTGTGTTTCGCTTTCTGTAACCGTTTGCGTCTTAGAAACTCAAAAGGACGGGTTTCAAAGAAGAAAACAGAACCTGATGATTGATATTACATAAAGGCTTTTGAAGATCCGAGTTGACGGGAAGCAGAGAAAATCTGAACGATTTACACACAAAAAAAAAACGTCCTGTATGTGAGAGTGTGTGTGTGTGTTTGTGTGTGTATGCAAAGATATGTTATCTTTTGGTTTGGTTTGTCTTAAGGCATATCAACCTCAATGGGTTATTTAATACTGTTGTAGTCTGTTTAGGGGCCAGAAAGACACGGAAGACGAAAGTAGATCGAAAAAGTATATTGAAGATAGATAAAAAATACGTAGATTAGCACTGCGTCTACTAATCCACTCCCCTCCAATCCTATTCGACTCACGCAGTTTCTATTTATGAGAGGAGGAAGAGTTCATTCTACTGTAGGAGGGTTTACCACAACAAATACCCACAAGATTTTTATTGCTGGTAATATTTCTTTTTAAAAATGTATTACTGGTAATAATGT